TCTTTCTTTCTTTCTTTCTTTCTTTCTTTCTTTCTTTCTTTCTTTCTCTTTCTTTCTTTTGACTAAATGTAAAATTACTATTGTTGCTGATCAAATAAAATATTTTAAATTATGTTTGCAAGTTCAGGGGGAGGTAAAATGACCACTAAGGCTGGTTTCAACAAGGGCATGAAAGACGTGGCACCACAAGATGGCTTTTGAACTTCTTGTCACATTTTTTAAATAGCCCTGCAAGCAGCATTATAAATGGCCACTGAACTTAAGGGCTTCCCTGTGGATTTTGCAAGAGTACATTGAAATATAGGCTAAAACTGTCACTACAGCTGCAAAGCCAGATGTAGATAACTGTAAAATATTTCTATACATAAATAAATGAAAATGTTTAGAAAGAGGTGTAAGTTGACAGATTCAGGGCTCTAATTTGGGTTGTTGTTTTTAACCTTTAGCAAATTGCAAGTTTTTAGGATTTAGTTAGTTGATTCATGTCTAGCTGTAGGAGTTAAATTGTGGGTAAAATCTAGGTAAGCATTCATAATTGTTTTTACTGGGAAGCATTCTGCACAGAGTAACTTGTTCATGTTTTAATTCAATGTAGTAATTAAATATATAGCCCGAGTATTAAGACTTTAATGACTAACATCTTAGGAAGGTGCATAAAAAATAAGTATCCAGTGGCTGGATTTACATATCCACATGTAATATAATAGCAACTGGATATAGACATTAGTTTTAGGATAATGTATCGAAAAGGATCTGTGTTTTTAAAATAAAATGAACATTTGCTGCACTGTATTTTGTGAGTGTATCTTAAAAAAAAAGTCTAGTCATGGAATGTGATAATTTGAATCAGTGCGTTTAATTTTTTTAGGGGAGGAAACTATGATTGCTGTTCCACACGGAAGTCGCAGTGCAAGAATTACTATAAAAGGACCAGCACAACTTGGTATGGATCTGTCTGTCTATCTGTCTGTCCGTCTGTCTGTCTAATTTGCTGCCCATCTCAACCACAAGGTGACTCTAGAAGGCTTACAATGTTCACTATGAGCAGAGTGTTCTTTTACAGAAATAAATCCTATTCATGTTTTAATACTCAGAGATTTTGCAGTTTAAGTGCACTTGAAGATCTGACTTCCTTATGTGCAATTATTTGAGCATAAGTTATGTTCACTACTGAAAGCAGTTTTGCAGCATTTTCTCCTGTGCTTCTTGATAAAAAAGAGGGGGGGAGGGAATGGCTGGATTTATCCAGAAGGTTTAGTTCTAAACCAGGTTTATCAAGCACAATTTAGGTCTTCATATAATGTACAGGGAAACACAGAAGAATTCATATAATGTACAGGGAGACACAGAAGCTTGCTTAAGAAGATGGCTTAGTTTCTACAACATAAACTATCCAGAACAGTTGTGGTGGCACAGTGGTTAGAATGAAGTATTACAGGCTAATTCTGCCAACTGCCAGGAGTTTGATCCTGATCACTGTAGTTGACTCAGCCTTCTGAGGTCAATAAAATGAGGGCCCAGATTGTCGGGGGCAAAAGGCTGACCCTGTAAACTGCTTAGAGTGGGCTGTAAAGCACTGTGAAGAGGTATATAAGTCCAAGTGCTATGGCTATATAACTTATTTTAACATAGTCTAGCACAGGGGTCTTCAAACTTGACAGCTTTAAGACTTGTGGACTTCAACTCCCAGAATCCCTCCTCCAGTCATGTTAGCTCGGGAATTCTTGGAGTTGAAGTCCACAAGTCTTAAACTTGCCAAGTTTGAAGACCCTTGGTCTAGTGAGAGGTATAATTCCAGTTGGTAACATCACCTCCTTGGCAACAAGACTGCAATTTAGTATTTGCCCTCCTTGGGTTACAGGGTCCACTTGTGGTTGTTGTATGTACAAACATGGGATGGTGAAGATTGCAGGCTTGCTCCCACTCAGTTGAAAATGGATTTTGCTACCAGTGCAAAGAGATTTATTTTTCTTCTCACATTCCTTTCGTTCCAACATTTAAATAGTTGCAGGGGATGAGTGAGTGGATTTGAAGCTAAGGAGAGGGCTGTTAGAAGATATTGTAGGCTTTCCAGAGGTATTAAGGATATAGAATCCAAAGTAAGCCAGCGTTCTCTGAAAATAATCCTCCTGCTGTAGAAGCAACACAACCAGAAGCTAATATTTTCACAAGTGGCTAATGCTAGATAACCAAGTTCATGAACTTACAAGAGTCTAGTTGGAAGCAAGATGCTAAATTTCTTTTTTTCTTTTTTTGAATGACAAAGGCTTGCATTTTAAGTGGTTAGTCCTGTGAGTGAATTCTCTAATTTTCTTTATAAGTATTAAAAATGAAATATGGTACATAGTTTGAGGATTTGGAGATGGATTTTTTTTCTTTTCTTTTTTAAAGCCTTATGTTTCTTCTTGGGGAATAATGCAAGAATGGAAAAAAATATGCATTTTAAGAGGCTGGTTTTCTGGCAAAAACCTCTGCTAACAGCTTAACACATGATATAAAAGAGACTCAAAATTCCCTTTTTTAAGTGCCAATTCTAGCCAGTAAGGGCCACATTCTATGTTTCTAGAAAAGCTTTCTAAGGTTGATAATTTTGTTTCAGATCTCTTTGTCTCATTCATCCTAACACTGAATTCGCTCTTTTAAAGCAATGGAAAGGTGGCTTGATGCATTTCTCTTTGGTCCAAGACCTTTTCCTGCTTAATCATTCAAGGTAGTCCCTGACTTAGGACTGTAGTTTAGCCTGACAATTATTTATTTATTTATTTGGTTTGTCAATTGCTTGCAAGATAATAGGTATAAGTATAAACATGAGTAAGAATACAGGAAATAGATGTGAATAACTGGGGATAATAGGACAGGAACAGCAGGCACGATGGTGCATTTATGCACGCCCCTTGCAGACCACTTAGGAATGGGGTGAGGTCAGCAGTGGATAGTTTGAGGTTAAAGGAGTGGGAGTTAGAGAATGTAACAACAGAGTCAGGTAGTGCATTCCAGGCGGGGACCACTCTGTTGCTGAAGTCGTACTTTCTGCAATCAAGTTTGGAATGGTTTACATTGAGTTTGTGTCTGTTGTGTGCTCTTGTATTGTTGCAATTGAAGCTGAAGTAGTCATTGACTGGTAGGACATTGTAGGAGATAATTTTGTATACTATGTCCGCAAGTTCAACCATAGGTGGCATAGTTTAAGGTTGTCCAAGCCCAAAATTTCATGCCTGGTGATATAGGGTATTCTGTTGCAAGCAGAGGAGTGTAGTATTCTTCTAGTGAAATACTCAATTGTATTAATGTCTGGTGATATAGGGTATTCTGTTGCAAGCAGAGGAGTGTAGTATTCTTCTAGTGAAATACTCAATTGTATTAATGTCCAATATACAGTGCAGATTCCAGACAGATGAGCTGTATTTGAGTATTGGCCTGACAAAAGTTTTGTATGCCCTAGTTAGCAATTCTATATTTCCAGAGGACAAGCTTTGTAAGATTAGATTATGATCCCAAGATAGGCCAGTCATAAAGCAGGTCATCACGTAACCAGTCTAGATATTGTGACCTTTTAGATGGTGGTTTGTTAAATGAATACCACAATTCTTAAGCAAACTCGTTTCCCCCCCACCAGGAAACCAGATGTAAACACTGTTTTCTGGAAAAAGAACTGTCATAAATTACAGTCACATGACCCTGGGACGCTGCGAACAGCTCTAAATACCAGCCAATTGCCCCAAATGTAGTCATGTGAGCAGACATCATAACTTTGGAACTGAGATGTAAGTAGCTTTTGATGGGGCCTCTCATAATTTTGAATGGCTAAGCAACCATTCATAAGTCAAGGACTCTCTGGATCAATTCAGAACCCACTGTCTTTTAAAAGACTTTAGGATTATTTCTTTGTTTTTGCCACAGCAAACATCATTTTGGGGTAGTTTCCATTAAAATGCATTTGCTACAGTGACCCTGTTTCCTCTGGTTTTGCAGAAATAGTTTTGAAGTTTTTCTGGCCCAGTGTTTGACTATCAGCTATTGATGCTAGATGCATTACATCTATGGCAGCTTGTTACCATGAAATCCAAGCCTGGTACCCTTCTTGAAAACACATGTTGCGTTCATGATTTCTGGCAGCACTGATCTAGCTACTGCTTTTTATTTGGGCCCTTATATATAAGTCAGCAGTAAAATAGATCCTGCCTCCGTGTAGTCTTGCGATAAGGATCCCTGTTGTGAATATCATCAGGTGTTCTCTTAAAACTGACAGGGTCCATCTTTTAATCGGAGTTAGCTAGGATTTCAGTTGGCTGGGTTAGTAGTTAACTGATTTCACCAACGGCAAACAAAGGCCTTACTATGTTGGAGTTGTAACTTAGATGGCTTTGCAGGGTGTAAAGTTCAAAAGACATTTCAAGCCATCCCTTCTGGAGGAATAGGCTTGGAAAGCCACGTGCTATTATTTCCAGATGGGCACAAGTGCATTTGTAAAATATTACTTTCCTTTTGAAGAAATAGCTGTACGTATATTACTAACAGCCCAGTGCTTGGTGCTCATTCCTCAGAGAAATTGGTATTGACAGACCGAGCAAGCAAGAATTGAGAAGAACTCATCTTGTAGATAAGCTCTGGAGCTGCTGGTGCCATATATTGGAAAAATATTACTGGTATTGTTCTGACCCATACCCTTTTCCAACAAATCAAACACAATTAAAAGGAACAGAAACCTTGTAATGCTTTTACAAAATAGTTACCTGTGATAAAAACAAGTCTTGCCAAACTGTGTGAGACTTGCCAAAAGATAACAGACAAATAATTTGTAAAATAAGATTCTTCAAATACAAACTCAGGATATTGGAATGTCCACGAGGGTGGAGTTTCAAAAACATCTTTGCCTTCTGCAAAGTACGTTCGCTTCATGGCTGGCTTTTATCTTCTTGAAGGAGGGGTTATTACCTTGCAGCCTTACTGCCAAGTTGCCCGTGTTGCTGCAGCTGCTCTTTCCTGTGAGCAGCCCTGCGCGCACACATACTTGGCACAGGCTCCTTGGGAGCCTCCTCATCGCTGCTGCCAGCTCCCACAATCTCTGAAGGCAGAAATCCACTCCCTGATGGTCCTGGCCCTTCATCTGAGTCCTTGCTCTCCTCAACCATCTGCACCTGCTAACCACAACAGGTATTTTGTGACTGTTTGAAGTTACAATGACATTGAAAAGTGACTGATGACCTTTTTTTCACACTTATGACCATTGCATCATCTTTGTGGTCACCTGATCACCATTTGCAAACTTCCCAGCTGGCTTCCAACAAGCAAAGTCAATGAGAGAAGTTGGATTTGCTTAATGACTGTATGATTCTGCAGTGATTCGCTTAACAATTGTGGCAAAAAAAATTGCAAAATTGGATGCAACTTACTTAACCACCCCTTTGCTTAGAGACAGAAATTCTGGTCCCAGTGGTGGCTATAAGTCAAGGACGCAGTTGGATATAAGCTATTGTTAACCGCCATTTGCAAACCTACCTGACAAGACACTTACAAGGATGATTTGATGCATAAAATGACCTGTGATGGCGCAGTGGTTAGAGTACAGAACTGCAGGCTACATCTGCTGCCTGCAGGCTGCCTGCAATTGGGCAATTCAAATCTTACCAGGCTCAAGGTTGACTCAGCCTTCTATCCTTCCGAGGTGGGTAAAATGAGGACCCAGATTGTTGGGGGCAAGAGGCTGACTCTGTAAACTGCTTAGCACCCTAAAGTGGTATTAGCACTCTAAGTGCTATTGCTATTCCTTCCTTCTTCCCTCCCTCCCTCCCTCCCTCTCTTATTCCCTTTCTCATTCTCCTTCCTGGTGGTACAGTGGTTAGAATGCAGTATTGCATGCTAACTCTACCCACTGTCAGGAGTTCGATTCTGACCAGTTCAAGGTTGACTCAGCCTTCCGTCCTTCCAAGGTCAGTAAAATGTGGACCCAAATTGTTGGGGGCAATAGGCTGACTCTGTAAACTGCTTAGAGAGGGCTGTAAAGCACTATGAAGCAAGCATTATATAAGTCTAAGTGCTCTTGCATTTGCTAAAAGCTTTTGTTGTTATTGTTGTTTACATATTACTATGTCTCTTTACCTCTGAAGGATTCCGAGGACTTAAATGATGCCTGTTGTTTTTTAAGGGACATCTGATAAATGACCTCCTTTACAACAAATGAGTTTGAATATACTTCTGTCTAGACAGAGAGGACCAATTCTATCCTTCTTTTCTAACACCATTGTTTTGATTGGAATTAGACCAAGAATAAATGTGGACCGGCACCCTTTATCAAGAGAAAGATACTTGGGTTCTCCCTGAGCCCTTGCATTATTTCCTTCCTTTTAAGGACCAGGGAATATGCCGCCTTGGGGTAATTTGTAAAGCTGAGACAAGTGATTACTGGAATATTTGCAAGGCTTTGCAAAAGTAAGACTCTTGTATGCTTTTATGGGTTGTGAATTATTCAGCGTGATGAGCAAATTCAATAGCTGGAGTACACCGAAGTTCTTAGGGCTGTTGGCATTTGTTGCCTCATGGCAGAACTCAGGTAGACCTTTGACTTGGCCAAGGAGGCCATATTCTCATAGTGTATTTTGATATGAGATTCCTAAAGTATCTTATTCTTGGGGGGGGGGAGATGGGCATGAATAGCTTTCCTTACGTAAATGAAGTCTCTGGAGAAGGTTCTAATCCTGGGAAAAGATAAAAGGAAAGAGAGAAACAGGATGTCCGGCAGTAAGGCGAATGGACCGAGTTACAGTGATGATAGTGTCCAGTTGGAAGACATGAAAGACCAAGATAGGGATAGATCATTACAGGGGGAAAAAAATTATGTGTCAGTAAATGTCTGCAGAGATTCTCAGTCATCCATCAGGTCATGGTTGTCCCAAAGGTGCTTTTTCAAGAGGCAACTGGACCTCCTTGTTATTCTTTGAAGACGTTTAGCTTCTCATCCAAGAAGCTTCTTCATCTATTTATATCTATGTGGTTGCTAAATGTTGGCAGTGACTTGATGCACATAACCAATCACTGAAGTTAAGAACGGAACGGAACGGAACGGAACAGAACAGAACAGAACAGAATAGAATAATAATAATGGAATGGAATGGAATGGAATGAAATGGAATGGAATAATGAATGGAATGGAATGGAATGGAATGGAATGGAATGGAATAGAATATTCTTTATTGACTAAGTGTGATTGGACACACAAGGAATTTGTCTCTGGTGCATTAGCTCAAGATAATTTTGGTCTGTGAAGAAACACACAAGAAGAATATTAAGCTCAGACAGTATATCTATCTTAGAAGACAGATTATTTCCCTTTTAGGAACCGATGGAGGAGAAATAGATTATGGCTGCTTCCTCAAAATTTTAAATTGTGCCTCTCATTGTGCATAGCCTGTGTAACTGTGAAATAGTCCTTCTTGACCTTGACAACTTTAAGATGTGTGGACTTCAACTCCCAGAATTCCTTAGCCATTTAGAGTTGAAGCCTACACATCTTAAAGTTTGCCAAGGTTGAGAATTACTGCTGAAATAAATGCCAATATTACACAGAATCTTCCAACAATCACTTTTCAAAAAGAAAACCAAACCTGCAGAATGTGCCAACTTTGGATTTCAGTGTTGAAGAGTCTAAATTTTAGTATAGTGGGGGATGGATACTGTGATCTGGGTGATAAGGCTGATGTTGTCCAAATATGCAAGCAGACCAAGATGAAGTTGCTATTTATTTATTTATTTAGCCCATTCTTCAGAGAGATGACTAATCGATCCTCTTTCCCACATCTAAGCAGCTGATGGAATCCTCTTTCTGCTTTTCTGACCACATCAATAGCATTTGTGTCAGCCTGGAAGAACGAAGAGCAATAAATACACTTGCAGGTGATGGGTGCCTTTTCACGCGCCAGTGTGTTTGTGATCAAAAAGGCAAATTAACAGTCTTGTGTGATATTGGTTCCTCTGGCCTCCTATTTATGATTCCCATCCTGTATTGAATAATGGATTTGCCCAGCTCTGCCTAAAAAAATAATCTAAAGAACACGGCGGGAGGAAACATATTGAATACAAATTGTGATCCATTCAGAAAGACTAACTCCAAGTGTGCTTGAGGATTGCCTTCTAAAATAGAGTTTGCATGTATGAGTATAGTAATAGCAATAGCACTTAGACTTATATACTGCTTCACAGGGCTTTACAGCCCTCTCTAAGTAGTTTGGAATCAGCATTTGTCGCCAACAATCTGGGTCCTCATTTTACCCACTGTGGAAGGATGGAAGGCCGAGTCAACCTTGAACCTGGTGAGATTTGAACTGCCAAATTGCAGGCAGCCATCAATCAGCAGAAGTAGCCTACAGTACTGCACTCTAACCACTGCGCCACTGTGTATCATGTACAATGGCAGATTTCTTACTTGGAAGACTTTTCTGGCTCAAAAAGATATGGATGTTTCTTCTGGACTGCTTTTCCCAAAGAATCTCTGCATTTGTACGCTCCTGGAATTATCTTGGTATTATTTCAAAATGATGCCATGAAATGCTTCATTTTTTAAAAAAAATATTGTGAGTCCATGCAAAGCAACAGAATTTCTTCTTAACTGTGTACCAGTGATAAATTCGTTTTTTATTTTCATTATACTGGAAATCATCTGGGTTTCTATAAATGGGTAGCATTCAAGAATGGAATGGTCATTTGAATCCCATGTCATCAGGATAGTATTGATATAAATAGTGCATACCACGACTTGTGTTTTATATTTACTTTGGGGCAGCCTCTGCTTTCAGTAGGCCAATGGCATAAATTCACCATAATCTGCTAAAGGATAATGTGCATTCCTTCACCCCACCCCTTATGCTTTTCAGCTATTGAATCAAAGACACTGCAGGGAGATACTGAAGAACACAGTTTCAATGTCCCTGGAATGTACATCATTGAAAACACAACGGTTGAATTTCAGAAGGGCCCAGAGAGAGAAACGATAAAAATCCCAGGGCCTCTTGGCGCTGATTTCATTGTCAAGGTAAGACATTTGTGCTGTGCCAAGGTTTTGTCTGGAAATTTTGTAACATCACCCGGTCCCACCCAGTCAGGCAGAAAAGGTATGTTGAGTCCTCCATCAGCCAAAGAATTTTGACTTGTGGGGTCCAGGAAGAGAGCCTTCTCTGATGTTGCCCCCCCACCCCGTGAGCACTCCCCCATCAGGAGTTAGGCAGACCCCCTGGCCTTCCATCAAGACATGAAAACAAGGCATTGCCCCCTAGCTTGGGGTGTACAAAGTAGCAGGCAACCATGGGGCTAGCTAGCGTCCTGAAAGCCCTTTGCAGCTTTTTAATTCATTTTTAACATCTCTTGGCTCTTTAAAATTTTGCATACTGCTTTTTATGGGTCGGTTACTGGGGCCAAAACCTCTTGTCCCGGTAACAGCCAGATTGAATCCTGCAACATTACCCTGAGAGACGTATAATCGCCTTCATTTGTGGTTTTTTATGCTTTTATATTTTATTGCCTGCCATCCAAAGTCCCTCTGTGAAGGAGACGGATCGTCCTTAAATGTGATGAATAAATAATTTTGAAAACGTTTTGTTCCATTTCAATGGAAAAGGGAAAATGCTACAAAGCAGACCCTAGTTCTAAGGAGGAAATATTTTTTTTCAAATTAGTTTCTTAGCCCAAGCCCAAGCTCTCTTATCTTTCTGTTGACTTGGTAGTGCCAGTTCCTCCTTTCCTTCACTCTGTCCTCTTTAAAAAGTGATAGAACGCACTTAATTGAATTTGTATGTATAGCAATAGCACTTAGACTTATGTACTGCTTCACAGGGCTTTACAGCCCTCTCTAAGTAGTTTGGAATCAGCATTTGTCCCCAACGATCTGGGTCCTCATTTTACCAACCTGGGAAGGAGGAAAGGCTGAAATCAACCTTGAGAATCGAATTCCTGGAGTGAGTAAGGAGTTCAGGATGGAACAGCTTCTCATAGCATTGGCTTTGGTGAGCTTGCTATGGCCAGCTCACCAAAGCCAACTCACCATAGCCAATTTGCTTCAGGACAATTTAACAGTTCTATGTAATTATTTAAAATAAAATTAAAAAGTATTTTAATTTTTGTCATTCACATTTTATTCTGTCTCTCCTTTTGGATCCTTTCTCTAATGATACTGCATTCTAACCACTGCGCCACCATCGCTCTTACAAGTCACTGAGTAGTCAAGCTCAAAGCAAGGTCAGGCTGCCTGTAGATTCTGCCCATTTTTTCTCCTTGCCTGTTGTCATGTGACTTACGGCATTGCACTTGGGTGCATGAATTAAACCACAGCAGGCCAAGGATTGCCAACATGCCACATTCTAATGTATTGTAATGGGACTCTCTTTAGGCCAGATATACTGCTGCCAAAGATAGCACGGTTCAGTTCTTCTTCTATCAACCCATAAGTCACCAGTGGAAGCAGACAGAATTCTTCCCTTGCACAGTGACATGTGGAGGAGGTGAGTAATGCATGTGGCTTTTTGGGAGCATGTACAGCTGTGGATTTGAAGCAATAGATAAATAGCTTTCAGGATGAGATTTGTGAGTGATGCAATAAATTGGTGCAGTGTTGTAACTCCGGTTTCTTCCCTGTCAGTATTTAAAATGGAGAGTAGAAGTCTCACATTTGCGCTAGTTAAGGTGTGACACATATACTAGTAATCCTTTCTGGACAATGGTTGTCAAGCACCAAATCCTCCCTATTGAAAAGACATTGGAGGGGAAATTGGGGAAATATGTCTCAAAGGTGCTTTTTCAAAAGGCAACTGGACTTTCTTGTTTTTTCTTTGAAGGTGTTTCGCTTCTCATTCAAAAAGCTTCTTCACCTCTGATTGGATGATGGGGAATGGAAGGATTTACCGTTCGGTCAGAGCTGAAGAAGCTTCTTGGATGAGAAGCGAAATGTCTTCAAAGAAAACCAGGAAGTCCAGTTGCCTCTTGAAAAAGCACCTTTGGAACTGTTCAATGCTTACTTTTAGCAAGGAAGAGGCAAACCAGCACTATGGTAGACAGCCATGTCTATTCCTGTCTGCCCCATCTAGTGGGAAATGATGTACAATCCGCATATGCAGACAATTTCAATGTTACTGGAAAAGGATATTAAAAGAATAGTGACCGCTGTAAAAATAGAATAGAATAAAAATAATCATAAGAATAATCATAAGAATAGACTAGAATAGAATAGAAAACAAGAATAGAATAGAATGGAATGGAATGGAATAGAATAGAATAGAATAGAATAGAATAGAATAGAATAGAATAGAATAGAAT